GCCCCGAGAGGGTGGACATCGGCCACAGCCACCTTGTCTGCTCTTACCCTGTGTCTTGCATGATTTGGAGGTGGTGGGAAAACCGAGGCTGCTCAAAACTCGTGGAGAATTTCGCCTGCAGGATGACATGAATGCATCTTCGATTGCCTGCCAATAGATATTTTTTGAGCGTCACTGTGGACCAGGCGCGGTGATGGGGGAGGGGATATTGTGGTGAACATGACAGGCATTGCCTTCACCCAGTGGGGCTCAGCGCTGGGTGAGAAGGCATTGAGAATGGACACTGTCAGTTGGGCAAAAGGAGGCCAAGGAGAAGTGCTGGGTGCATGGGAACTGAAAAAGACAGGAGGCTCAGCAGGTCTTAGAGCTGGGAGAGGAACAGTAGCGGCGGCTGTTTCAAAGGAAGCAACAGCTGAGAGATGTCTCAGAGTTGTTCTCAGCCCAGTGGAGGGTGTTCAGGCAGAGGGAACAGCGTGTGCAAAAGCCCAGACGCTGGGAAAGAAGCAGAGAGAGGACTGTGGGGCTGGAGCGTGGTGGGCAAGGGGAGAGAGGTGTGGTGGGCAGACAGATTGGCTGGGACCCGACCGTGCAGGGACAGAGGAGATAGGGGATCCTTGCAGGCCCCCAGCCAGGGCTCAGGCACAGAGACAATGCAGGTGGGCAAAGGGAGGAGACGTGGAGAAATATTTTGGAGGCAAGCACCGATGAATGAGTCCAGGATGCACCCTTAGTGTCAGTGTGGAGCTCCTTCCTTGGCTGTGTGATGAGCTGAACCGGGGGTATTTTCTGGACATTGAGGTGCTACACCCACAGTCCAGGACAGGCTAAGTGGGCACCAGCAGATCCTGGCCTACCTCAAAAGCAGGAGAGACAGGGGAGGCTGGGGAGGCCAGGGAGGCCAGGGAGGCAGTGGAGGAAGGAGAGACTGGGGAGGCTGTGTCCTTTCCACGATTCTGCCCAGGATCCTAGGCCCCTGTACTCCCTGAGCTCTCCCACCCCAAACGCTGGAACCATGTTGCACAATTGTCTCCCCACTAAGCTCCCGATGGCTGCCCCTACCCTGCTGTGCTACCTATTTCCTCCCTAACAGCTCTCACAGTGGGCAGCACATAGTAGGTGCTCAGGAAACACTGGTGGGAGAACACATGGATGTGCTCAGCACCTTCCTCTCTCCTCCAGCTCTCCCCTGTCACAAAATAATTCTGATAATGACATACGGGCTTTGAGACCCTCTTCTATTACTTCTCATATGCCAATCCATCTATACCTCACAGCAGCTCTGGGGTTGGGTGCTATTAGGGTGCCCATTTTACAGAGGAGGAGACTGAGGCATACAGAGAGTAAGTGACATAGGCACACTACAGGGGCTGGGGCCAAGTGACCACAGCACTCAATCCCCAAAGGCAAGGTGGACGCAATTACCATAAAGGACAGCAGAATCAAAGCTGCAACCAGAATAGCCTGACTCGCAGACCTACGGTACCCCCTGATCGTGGCGTTCCTAGAAGTGAAATAGATAACAAGCCTGCCACATTGGTACTCGATCTGTGTTTGCAGAAGCGTCCTAGGTCAGGTGAGCAGAAGTCTAACCTGAATCATAAAAACAGAGCCACAGTCCCCAGTCGATTCCCAGACATAAGCCAGTTCACAGACCCGGAGTCCCTTGTCTGAATGGGAAGCCAGGTCCCCTCCAGAAAGGACTCTGCTCCACTGCCAAAAATTTATACTTTCTCCCAGCCTGCCCTCAAAGAAATATGGAGCCTTTTACCAGGATAACTGAACAGGGGAATAGGAACTAATGAGACCTGTGCAGGATCACTGGACACAAGCTCTGAACTGGCACTAGGGCTAGACGAGGGTCTACCAGTCAGAATAGGCATTTTGGAGGTCAGGTGAATGTTAGTACAAGTTCATGTCACGGTAGATCCATTGGGTCTCCAAACCCATCCTCTGGTTACATGCAAAGTGGCAATGCTGACATTGAAATTCAGGGCATCCAACATACAGGCTGTTCTCTTACTCATGAAACATTCTGACATCTCTGGAAACAAAACCACAATTCAGGGTTCTAGTCCCCACCCACGCAGCCTGACCCAATTCCAGTGCCCAAGGTCACAGTGTCAACCCCATGTTTTGCAGCATTTAAACTAGGCAGGAAAATTAGGGACAATTAAAAGGACATGGGCCCCCAGCTAGTCATAGACTCTCTCTGGTATGTATCATAAATATTTGCCTTCCTGAGGTTCAATGTGGACAGGCTTTGTCCCAGTCTGCAGCATACGTTGACATGATCGGCTTATCTGTCCGTCTCTTCTTTTTTTTTTTTCCAGACAGGATCTCACTCCCTTGCCCAGGCTGGAGCGCAGTGGCACAATCATGGTTCACTGCAGCCTCAACCTCCCGGACTCCATCAATCATCAATACTCAACCTCCTGAGTAGCTGGGACTACAGGCATGCACCACCAAGCCCAGCTAATTTTTGTGGGTTATGTAGAGGTAGGGTTTCTCTATGTTGTCCAGGCTGGTCTTGAACTCCTTGGCTCAAGCGATCTGCTCATGTTGGCCTCTGAAAGTGCTGGGATTACAGGTGTGAGCCACTGCACCCAGCCTCCTCTTCCTCTTGATGGTGAATTCTGTAAGGGCAAAGGCTCATTCATTTTTGTTGTTTAATGAATAGGCTTTATTTTTTAGAATAGCTTAAGCTTTACAGAAAAATGAGTAGAAAGTATAGTGCTCCCATATATGCCCTCAAATTCTCCCATCCCGTTTCCCCTGTTGTTAACATGTGGCTTTAATGTACTGCATTTGTTGCAGTTGATGGGTCAATATTGATATATTATTGTGAAGTCCGTAGTTTAGGTTTCTCTCCTGGCACATTCTTTGGATGGATGTGACCATCCACCATTGTATCCACCATTACAGTGTCACACAGAATAGTCTCACTGCCCTAAAAATCCCCTGTGCTAAGCTGGTTCATTCTTGAATCTCCATTGCTTTTGCATGGTGCCAAGCCCTCAGCTGGGGCATGTGGCTGTTGAAGGGATGGATATTGCAAAAACTGCTGCCAAATGTTTCCATCCTGGACGAGTAAAGGAAAGTGGCCCTGATGTTTTAAAAGGCCTGACATCAAAAGAAAGGGTGTGAGTTTACCAAGCCACTGGGATTAGCTCCCCAAGGGACCATTTCCTCAACTTGATCCGATGATCAAGGTAGCAGAAGGTCCAGAACAAAGGGGATCCCTTTTACTCTGACCTAGGACAAATGTCTGTAAATTCTTCGAGAGCTCAGAAAATGTCAACATCTGGGCCAACAGACAAAAGTGGAAATGTCAGCCAGGCACGGTGGCTCACGCCTATAATCTCAACCCTTTGGGAGGCCAAGGCGGGCAGATCATGAGGTCAAGAGATCGAGACCATCCTGGCTAACACGGTGAAACCCCCGTCTCTACGAAAAATACAAAAAATTAGCCGGGTGTGGTGGTGGGTGCCTGTACTCCCAGCTACTGGGGAGGCGAAGGCAGAAGAATGGCATGAACCTGGGAGGCGGAGCTTGCAGTGAGCCAAGATCACGCCACCGCACTTCAGCCTGGGCGACAGAGTGACACTCAGTCTCAAAAAAAAAAAAAAAAAAAAAAGTGGAAATGTCTGAGAAAAAAGTAGTTCTTTTTCTATCAGTCTAAGAGTAGAATTCTCACCACCTCAGGTGCAGATGTAATAAATAAGTAATAAAGCAGCAAGCAGAAGTGATGGAAACCATGAAAAATATTGTGGATATCTGAAGGAAGACATGGCTTCTGCATCAGTGGGGTCTTTAGGCTCCCGCCGTAACCCCCACACCCACAGAGAAGATGCGTCTGACCCCAGTGAGTACCTGGGTCCCGCCACAAGTAGACCCCAAGATGATGATTCCAGTGCAAGAGGTTTACTTGGGGGTGATGCCAGGAAACCCTGATGATAGCCTGGGGATATGGGATGAATATGGAGAAGGGAAGATAGCTGTAAAAGGTTAACCTCTCGGTGACTCCTGTGGGCATCCCAGGACTTAATCCAACCGAGAGAGCATGTAGAAGGTGCACCTCAGACATCCCGCCTAGGTCTGCAGGAGCTGGGCCATTCCTACCCGAAAACTCACCAGGCACAACTCAGAGATACTCCTTAGAGGGTCTTAATTTCCAAGTAGTTTCAACAAAGTGGCATTGGCGGCCACAGGGAGCTTCAGGCAAAAGTGGTTGGCGTGCACAGGAATAGTAAGGCCACTGAGAACATCTGCTATGGACCCAAACCCAGACATAACCAGGCTGGCTCCAGCCAGACA